TTCCAGGAGGGGAGGCCCACCGGCAGGTGGTGGGTGGGTGGCAGGCAGGAACATCGAGGTGGCCGAGGTGCGGATCCGGGCTGGGAGAAGGGGACAGGTAGGAAAGTGCCCTGGACGATTTCCACGCACCGGCCGGCAGACGGGCTACGGATGTCCTATTCTTGCAGACACACAGTCCCGTAGACGCTCCTTATCAATGTCAAATTATGATAAATGGCGACGGGTAAAAGTTGCTGGGTGGCAGCTGCTGCAACATGGAGGGAAGGAGGTATTTTTAGCACTGTGCCTGGGGGCTTGGCTCTGGGTTAATTAATCATGGTGAACAGAACCGAGTCTGGTTCTTGAGCCTGGTCCCCATCCCCGTCCCAGCCTTGTCCCCATTCCCCGGACTGGAATACCAGCTGCACAGGGGGAAGTCACGCACAGCTGCAGTAGCCGCGGACAGCGCACTGGGGACGCACTGGGGACACCACCCCACGTTCCCCACAGCTCGGGGCCTTGCACCTACCTCAAGGCCTCTCCAGTTGCTGTTCCCTTTCGAATGTCCCCCCCCCCCCCCCCCCGGTGTATCTTCATCATTCCTGTCTCGCCCCAAATGCCCTCACCTCACAGAGGCCTGCCCTGAGCGCCCCTCCCCCCACAGGCTCTCCGTCACCTTGTCCTGTTTATTTCCTTCAGAGCACTTAGACCAGCCGAACCACCTTCTTTGCTGATTGCTTTATTTTATCATCTGTCTCCTTCTGCTGAAATGCCAGCAGCTTGCGAACAGGGGTCCTTTCTGTCTTATTTGCTCTCTTAAATCCCTGTTGCCCAGCTCAGTGTACACAGGGCAGGTGCTCAGTGAATGTCCTTGAATATGCGACTGGATGGATGGATGAGTGGAAGGCTGGAGGGAGGCCCTTTGTGGGCTTGGATTTGAGGATGCAGCGTGACGAGACTGCTCTTGCTGGTAGGGGAGCATCCTCCCCCAGGCCCAGGGGATTCTGGGAAGACAGTATGTGGAGTAGGACCGACCACTACCTTCTCTGCTTTGGACATATCCAACCATGTGCTTGTGGGTGTTGCTGAGAGATTGCTCTGAATTCTGAGGGTTTGTTTGTTTGTTTGTTTTCATGTTTTTTTCTCCTTGGATAAAGGGAGAGACAGACCAATTTTAAGGGACTCCTAGAAGACTCTGCTTGAAAGCTGACATGAGTAGTAGCTCATTTTTGGAGTTTAACCACAGTCCTTTCACCATCTTTTCTCTTCAATGTAACTGCTCTTTGTGGAAGCCACAGTTGCTTGCTTCTCCTCCCTGTTCTTGCTTGGGAACAGCACCCCAACGTGGTCCTTGCGTTGGGAAGCCTGTGCTTTGGGGAGGCGCAGCAGCCCCAGGAGGGGCCCCGCGATTAGCCTGAGCCAACTACGGGAGCTCTGCCCCAGCCAGTACTCGGGTTAGAAGTGGGACCGTGAATGCGATTCTAAGGGGATGTGAAGAGACTTGGAGGGTTCCTCTTACTTTTAAAAAAGGTACATGAAGGAGTGCATACGTGCCGTGCCCTTTTGTTGATCCTAAAGAGGGTCAAGTTTTGTTTCATGTGCAGAGGCAGGGGCAGGGGACAGGGAGCACGTGACAGGGGCTGCGGAGGGTGCTGACCTGTACGGGCAGGGACGTCCCCAGACTGGGGTCGCCTAAAACCTGCCCGCTCCCGAGGCCCTTCCCACTAGGGTTGAATCAGATGTCCAGGGATGGGGTCTGGATCTCCATGGGGCTGATATTCCCCTCTCATCCCCCTATTTTTCTGAGACACGGGGAGCCTGGAACTGTGGAAATAGATGAGGGACAGAGAGCCCCTCCTGACAGGGCCCCAGAGGCGCCTTGCCAGGAGACATCAGAATGCTTTTCTCTTGACACCTTGAAGAGGACAAATAGATTTGTTCTTTCCTAGGCTATGTGGAAGGAAATTTGTGAGGAAGGCACTGGCCTGGACTAGGAAACTTTTAGGAAGTGAACATTCAGAGCATGTGCCCAGAGGCAAGTTGCTCTGCTGAGAATGCCCGGAAGGTTCCGGAATCACCTTGCCTGGGGGACCTCTGCTGAGAGAGTGCTGTTTGCTCCACCTCTGTGGGAGCTCAGGGGAAAACACGGCCCTCCCCGGCCGATTCTGAGGAGAAATGAACTGAAACCTCATTAAAAAGCACCAGGGAAATTGAGAAATTGCTATTCTTTCTTAACTTTTGCTACTTTCATAGGTCTGGTTATGACTTCCAACGTGACCTGTGGGAGAGAGAGACAAAGAGGCAGAGAATCACTATTGGGGGTGTGGGAGAGTCAAAGAATGACAGAAACCACAGGACAGAAACACGTTTCTTTTTGCTGATTCAGAAAGTATTTATTGAGAACCTACTATGGGCTGGATCTGCGCGCGCGCGCACACACACACACACACTCTAATTAATACACCACAAGGCCCCAGGCTGTTTACTGCTCTCCCAATTCCCGGCGGGATCTTGAGTCTGGGAATAAAGAGGGTGCTGTTTCCACTCAGACCAGTAGGTGTCACCATGTCAGAGGGAAAGCCAGGGGAGCCACCTGCAAATACAACGCCTATTTCATCTAGTTCTCTGAGTGCCACTATGGGCAGAGCACCAGGCAGGACACGTGAGAGTACCTGGGATGAGAAATGTACAGTCCCTGTCCTCAGGGAATTTACTGTGCCATGGTGGGGGGATGGAGGGACAAGTCCTAGGTCACAAAAAGAAGGAGAAGGCGTTCAGAGCCTTGGGAGAGGTTTAAAGGATGGGCTGTGTGGATCTTAGAACATCAGAGACCTCAGAGGAGCTGCTTCCCACCTCCTCACGTTAAAGCAGAGGGGACAGGCTCAGAGGAGGAGGCTGAGTGACCTGTGGTCCCACAGCAATTGCAGACGCCAGATCTCTTGATTCCTAGAACAGTGCTCTTTCCACCAAACATTCTGTTTCAAATTTTGAGTTGCTTTTCCTTTTTTTTTTTTTGAGAGAGAGAGACGGGGGAAGGGAGAGAAAAAGAGGGGGAGAGAAACATCGATGTGTGAGAGAAACTTTGATCAGTTGCCTCTTGCATGCTCCCCAATGGGGGACTGAACCTGCAACCCAGGCATCCACTCTGACTGGGAATCGAACTAGTGACCCTTTGGTTCATGGGTTGATGCTCAGCCAACTGAGCCACACCGGCCAGCAATAGCCCAGCTTGAGATGCAAAATTACACCTTAGTTTAGTCCTGAAATTCCCTGCAAAATGCCCTCTCTGATGCCCACTGCAAGGCATTCTATGTGGGTCAATCTGCACCTCAGAGAAGGCAGCTGCCCCGTGGCTGCAGCATCATTGGCTCATATAGGTTCATGAGGGCCTGTGTGTATCTCTTCCTGGAAACATCCTGTTGGTAGCTTGAAATCAGCCGTGGTGGGAGTGTTTACACTCTGGAAATTGGCAGCAGCTATAAATCAGAACTTTTCCTTTTGTCCTCCCAGTGAGCTGCACCCCACTGAATGAGTGTCCTGCCTGTACAGATAAGGACACTGAGGCTCAGGGAAGTGAGGCAGTCTGCCGCAAAGGCACAGCCTGTAGGAGGTGGAGCTGAGACCCTAACCCAGGTAGTGTGAGTGCCTAGGGGTGGTTACATCAATAAGACTCAGAGCCACTGGGTTGTGGAGGGGTCTAGGTTGGCCCCAGGTTCCTCACATGGATGCTGGGGTGGGAGCTGCCCTGGGCTGGTGACATGAACCTGACAGCAACTTTGCAACAGACATCAGCTTGAACGAAATGGTAACCAATCCAGCTTTGAGTGGCACAGTGTTGCATCTGAGGCAAAATGTGGGAGTGATGTTCAGAATTGGAGGTCAGAAGAGAAATCTGGGCAAGCGATTGAGATTTGCAAGATAGAGGGTTTTGGGGGTTTATTTGTTTAATATTAATTTTTGATTTTAGAGAAAAGGGAAGGAGAAAGCAAGATGTGAGAGAAAAACATCAACTGATTGCCTTCTGTCCACACCCCGACCTGGGATGGAACTCACAACCCAGGTACATGCCCTGACCGGGAATCGAACCTGCGACCTTTCGGTATGTGGGATGACGCCCAACCAACAGAGCCACTCTGGCCGGGGCTAGAGGTTTGTTCTCAGCTAAACCAAATGTAGGTTAGCTAGAAACATTTTCCTTTCTTAGAGTAATCAGGTAAGAAGTGTGAGGTTCACCCCTTTAGATGTCTTTTGTCATCTCTGTCAACATTCAGGCATGACTCAGCAGAGCAGCAGCGGGGGGGGGCCCATCACTCTTGCTCCCACTTATTCCCTGGTCCTGGTGCAGAGTGAGCACCCAGTGAGTGCTTGCAAAATAAATCACTGAGCGGCCCGATTTTACCCTGCACACCCTGAGTCAGCATTGCTATGGGCCATACATCAAAACCTCAGTACATTTCTCAAATCTTCTAACTTTATCTAGAATTCTAACATCATTCAGAAGTGTGGATTGGAATCAGAAATTACTTCTTAAATATCATTTTAGAGCTAGAAGTAGGATTAGGTATTATCTCTTATGATATCTCTGTTTCACTGATGAGGTACTGAAGCCCAAAGACACTTCCGATACCCTCCATACCCCTTGTCAGTGGGAGAGACCACCCAGCCTGGGCAGCCATGGAGCTTTGGTTCTGGCTGGTTTACTTCCCTGTCTCTCAGGACCAAGGAGAGATTGAGCTCTGGTTCTGGAATGAGTGGATCGGAATCTGTGTCTCAGGAAGAACCACTAAATATTCTTGGGTAGACAAGCAAAGCTCTGGATAACTAACCAAGGGGACCGCAATATGCAAATGAATGGACTGTGGCTTTTCCTCCGGATTGGCTGAAGGGGCCCTTGATGTCACAGTATGTGGACTTCTCCACTCCAAATGATTGTGTCTCTAGTCTCGAGCTCCCCGCAAAAAGCCTCTCTGACCTCGCTGGTTTCCTAGCTCCTTCTGTTTGTCCAAACAGGAAGAAAGGCTATGGAACCGCTCTATCAGGCTGGGTCTGTTCTCATGAAGGTGAACACCTTGCAAGGGAAGAAGATGGTGGAGAGCGGCCTCCAGTCGGGAGACTTTTCCCTCCCCGCGTCGTGGCCCTCCTACCCGCTGCTGCCCGCTGACTTGGAGATCCTGCAGCAGAAGGTGGCCGCGGTGCAGCGGGAGCTGGAGGACTTTAAGAAGGAGGCCTTGAAGGCCATCCATTACCTGAAAGACGCCTTCTGCGAGATGAATGGGGCCTTGGCACAGCAGGAGGAGCAGGCAGCTCGCGTGAAGCAGCGGCTGAGGGAGGAGGAGGACCGGGGCATCGTGCGAAACAAGGTGCTCACCTTCCTGCTGCCCCGTGAGAAGCAGCTCCGGGAGCACTGCAAGCGGCTGGAGTGCCTGCTGCTGGGCCGGAGCCATGCGGCCCTGGGCCTCCCCAGGAAGATCCAGGCAAAGTGAGGCCCCCCGCAAGCAGGAGCCACGCTTCTAGCCCAGCAGCCACGTAGAATATTTTTTAAATGCAGGGACAAACCCGAAGTCCCTATCCATTTGCTCCCCTTTCCCCCATTTCTACTGCTTTCCTTCTACCTAAATAACACCTTGCTGAGAGGCAAAAAGACCCCAGTATGTTCTTTTGGTGAAGCTCCATTTATCCAGCATCATCCAAGAAGGAGGCGCTCCAATATGGCTTTCAGACACCTGTGACTTTCACCTTTTAACTGCTTTCCTGTTTGTAATGGTAAAAGTGCTCAAATGTATAACATATATATTTTTTAATCTTCTTAAACGGATTGTGTTGACCAGATTTACCTTTCTTTCAATGACTCGAGGCTCTCATGATTTGTTACTCAATGCGTGGGCTCCTGAGAAGGGTCCAGCGTTCGCCCAGGCACCGCATGGCCTCGGGCTGCTTTACTTTGGCAGTTCTTATCCTTGCCTCGTTGGCTTTTCTGTCTGCCTTTACTGTTAGGCTGCCATAGCTCACTCTTCTGTGCTGTCTTTGTGCACCTTTCCCCCATCCCTGGTCAGTCTGCAGACCAGCCAATCAGATCAACAGAGCTTCTTAGGACTCCAAAGCCTGGAGGCATTTGAGCCCATTGCTCTGAAGAAACCAGGGCTGCTTCTGTAAACTGGATAGTGTGAGCTCTCTCCTGGAGGGCAACTCAGGAGATCAGCAAGGCCTGATCTTCCAAATCCACCAATCAGAAAGTCACTCCCGTTTCCTGGGGCAGGAGGAAGTGAGAGGAAGGAGCACTCCTGAGGTTGCTTGAGTGGAGGTCCCTATATAATGAAGGAGGGGTGGGAAAGAAGGGTCCGCCGCCAACAATGAGGAAAAAGGGTTAGACCAAAGCCAAATAATTCTATAGGGTAGTTCTAGTAACAAAGGATGGATGCTAACAGGGGGCAGATTTCAGCCCAATGCAAGGACAACAATAATACTGGGTGCTTCTTATGTGTCTGCGCAGTAAAGGGTTGACTCAGAAAGGGAGGGATGTTCAGATCTTGCACATTGCAAAGGAAGGTATGGCTCCTGACCCACCCCTGGGAGATAGCCCCTAAGCCGTTGCAATATGCTGTCTGATAAGAATGTCTTAGTTTTCCTGGGGCTTAGGGCCCAGCCAGGTAGTTTATGCCAGCAATGTGTTTGATGGTGGGGACCCTGGGCCGGGCTGTATTGGTCTGACCCCAGGTGGGGCTGGAGACTGAGGAACTGAGGTCAGTCAGCCTTGGAGGCGCTCTACGCCCAGGTATAACCACCAGTGTAAACACTGGACATCGAGGCTCAGGTGGACTTTCCTTGTTGACAGCACTTTATATGTGTTGTCACACATTGTTGCTGGAAAAATTAGTTGTCCCTACAACTCCCCTGAGAGAGGACAGCTGCCAGCTTGTGCCCGGTCTCTTATGGACCCTGCTTCATGCTCCTTGTACCTTTTGCTAATCTTAATCTCATCCTTCAGCTATAATAAACTAATTGTGCATATAACAGCTCTTCTTAGTCTGTGAATAGTTCTAGAGAATCATTAAGTTTGAGGGTGGTCCTGGGGCCCTGTGATGTTGTGTCCGATGTACCTGACATTTCATGCTTACTATTCTCACAATAACCTGTGAGCTAGGCGCTATTATCCCCACGACAGGTGAATAAACAGAGGCATAGAAAGGTTATGTAACTTGCCTAGAAGTACACTGCAAGTGCACTCAAGAGCTCTCTCTCTTGACCACCACCCATACCAAAGGAAGGGACTAGGGATGATGGGCTGGCCCCCTTCACTGCACGGTCCCATGGGGTGACCCCAAAGCCCTCCAGTTCCAAAAAGGAGAGTCATCTTGTAGTGGGGATGATGAAGAAGTGCTGGAGGAAGAGGCAGGGAGCTTGTGAATTTCCTGTCTTGGAGAGCGCAGGTCACATCCATCCAGGTTGGGTTAGGCAGAGAGGGTGAAAGTCCAAGTGTCTCCTCATGGTTTTCTCTGCTGCAGGGCTTGAAGCTTTCTTCTTCTCTATCAAGGGGTTTTAGCTGCAAGCCACAGGATACCCATGATGCTGACTTCTTTGAGGAGTGTATTCTCTCACATAACAAGACATCTGGAGTAGAGGGTTGGGTCAGTAACTCAGCAATGACACGGCTCTGGGCTGGTAGCTCTGTGATCGTCTTTCCTTCCTCCCTCACCACATCCCTCCAACGGTCACCTGGTGACGGTTTCAGGAGTTCCAAAGTTGGGTCATCGCTTCACAGCTTCCAAAGCAGAAAAGGGGCAGACCTAAAGCCTTTCCCAGGACCCCCAGTAGATTTTCTTTGACATCCCCTTGGCCAGACCTGGCTTGCTTGCCTACCTTAAACCAGTCACGAGCAAAGAGGAAAGCAATTGCCACAACTCAGCCTCTGGGGCTGGGGATACCTCAGTCACCCAGGATCTGAACAAAATCGCGCTTCCATTATTGAGGTTGGCTGTTGGCGGGTAATCAGCCCCAGCTACCACAACTTCAGTTGTAACTTTTTTTCTTAATTGATATCAAGTGCCAGGTAGAAGAGAGCCCTGGGGGACAGCATGGCTGGGCAGAGTTGGGCAGTGAGGGGGGCTGTCCCCTTGCGGCAGGGAGCATGGATTCAGGCCTGGAAACTGGGCAGGTGGGCTGGGTGGGGGTGTGGAGCAGCTTCAGTGCTATGGGTGTAAATCCCTCACTTGCTCCGCCCTCCCCTGCCCCACAGACCCAGGCTTTGCCCTTGAAGTCAGAGCTTTAAGAAGACCCAAAAGTGTCAGGGACACTTTGCAAACCCTCAGTCCTTAAACTAGGAAGCCACTCTTAGAGATGTAATTCACATGAAACCATCTAGAGGGACTGACTAGTCCTGGTTAAATGAACTGTTCCTCTTTGAAAACAGCACGTCCCATAAGCCAGGAACCCTCCTAGTCCGGCAATGGTTCGTCTCCTTGTGTTAGATGGAAACCACCTTGGGCTGATCCAGGGGACGTGGTGATGGGGCGAGTCACAGGAGGTCAGGACAGGAAACACGGATGGTGGTGGCCCTCCCTGCCAGGCTGGTGCATCTTTTGTTTGTAACTGAGGCAGCTGGCCTGCCCATTCAGTGGCAAGAGTGGCTTCTCCTTGACTTTACTTCTCCTCCCCACCCTCAGGTCCTTGTTTACCACCTCACATTGGCCAGGAGATTTGAGAGCTTGGCCTTTCTGGGCAACTTTTGAGATCCAGGTGTGGATAGTTGGGATTTCTGATTAGGCCACATCTCACAGCTGAGACCCTTGTCCTGGAGGAGGACAGAGGACTCCATGGTCACTTAAAGAGTCCGAGAAGGGACAGTTTTTTTTGTAGCTTTGGAATGGGAACCCATCTTCCAAATCTTCTTCCTCCAACTGTGAACAATAAAGTTGAGCAGTCCAACTGCTCACTTTCTTTGAAATTCTAAAGCTGATAGAAGGCAAAATAACAGATGGGTTCTTTTCCCCTGCCAGTAGCCACAGTTCTGAAAAGTCTTCCCCAAGCTTCCCTGCCCACTGGTTCCTCTGCACATGCCCAGCAGTCAGGGGCTATGCTGAAGTCACGAACATATGGCTCCATCTTAGGATAACCTACGGCGGCCATGGGAACACTCCCCGGGACCCCAAGTCCTGTGTGTGCTGCGAGCTGGGACGCTTGGGTGAAGAGCGAGATGGCCAGACACGGTGCCTGTGTGGGGAACATGGAACCTCCGCTGCCATAACTCAGTCTGCCCTTCTCTGCTGGCCTGACACCAGGGCTGGGGAAGGAGCCCCAAGGATGGCGTGGCTGGGCGGAGCTGGTGGTGGGGGTGGGAAGCAAGGGTTTGGCTCAGGAAATTGGCTTCTTTCCACGCAGTACTTTGCCTCCTGATCTCAACCAATCCTTGTAGTGATTCCTGGAGTGCTGAGAGCAGCAGGCCTTGGGCGTCTTTGCTGACATTCACCAGGTGTTGATCTTCCCTTGCTTTTCCCTGGGAAAACAGTTTGGCAGTGTCTCAACACGTTGACCATAGAGTTACCATGTGACTCAGCAATTCTACTCTTAGGTCTATACCCAAGAGAACTGAAAACATATGCCCACGCAAAACTTGTACATGAATGTTCATAGCATTATTCATAGTAGCTCCAAAGTGAAACAATCCAAATGTCCATCAACTGATAAAAAAATATGTACAATATGGTGTATCTATACAACGGGATAGTATTTGGCAATTTTAAAAAAAGAAATAAAATACTAATCATGCTACAATATTATGCTAAGTGAAAGCAGCTGGTCACAGAAGGCCACATAGTATATGACATTGTACCACCGCTATTCAATGACCAGAACAGGCACAGCAATAGAGAGAAAGCAGACCAGCGGGCGCCTGGGGCTGTGCCTGGGGTCGGAGGAGAAGGGGGAGTGATTGCTAATGGGTATGAAGTTTCTTTTTGAAGTGACAAAAGTGTCCTAAAATGACCATGCACTTTTAACATTTTTTAAAAATTATATTTAATTGGTTATGCTATTATAGTTGTCCTGATTTTTCCCCCTTTGCCCCCCTCCACCCAGCAACCTCACTCCCTCAGGCAATCCCCACACCATTGTTCATGTCCACAGGTCATGTGTATAATTCTCCGGCTACTCCATTGCCTACACTGTACTTTACATCCCCATGGCTATTCTGTAGCTACCTTTTTGTTCTCCTTAATCCCCTCACATCTTCACCCATTCTCCCACACCCCCTCCCATCTCTTCATCTTTAACCTTTGGCATTATAATTATAATGTGTCTTGGGGCAGGTCTCTTTGTGCTCATTTTATTTGGAGCACTGTGCTTCCTGGACTTGCATGTCAATTTCCTTCACCAAATTAGGGAAGTTTTCTTACATTATTTTCTCAAATAGAGTTCCAATTTTTTGCTCTTTTTCTTTTCCTTCCAGCACCCCTATGAATCAAATATTGGATTGCTTAAAGTTGTCCCA